CTGCTCCTACTGTGTCTGTCTATGCTGAGTTTTTATGTGGCCTAAGGAGTGTATCCTAATAAGAAGTGTATTGAACTGCCTTCCTTGTCTGCACTGCTCAGCAGTCTGATCACAGACCAATGACTTTCTAAAAGCGTTCTAAACCAGTTAAATGTTTTTGTCTGCCTGTGTACATTATGCCTCAAAACTTAAGAATGCTCTTCACCCTACTTCCAGTTAAGGCAGAGAAAGCTGTTTTTCTGTTCCTTCCGAATCGACACTGACAACCAACTCTCTATCTGACCTTGAGGTTCATTATCCTAGTAATTCTGAAGGTTAATTATTACCTGGTATTTCCAGTCTAGTTAACAGCTGCAAGATGGGGTGGACTAATTACTAGTACTGCTTGGCTGATTTACCTTACAATAAAAAAAAGTGAATAGGTGCGAAAAGAAAAAAGGCTGAACTTGCAAACATGTAGCCTCAGTGATGAGGGCAGGGGAAGACAAGCCTCTTCATTCTTCGTTTACATCATGTGCACTCAGCTGTGCATATCAGAGAGAACATTTTTCTCCTCAAATAAAAGAGCACTATTCCAAAAGTCCAAGATAATTAAGTAGTAATGTGTGAACCTAGGGATATCACTGAAGTGTAATATAAATACTCTGCAACTTTACTTTGTAGACAGGCTGCTATTGTCTTCTTTAGATTGTACTTATAGAATTTTACTGTATACTCTTATTTTACTGCCTTGTACAATAACAGTTAGGTAGCATCTTTTGAATTAGATTCTTGCAAGAGTGGTAGTCTATACTAATTATTTTAACCTGTGGTTAACAGCCATGAACTGAATTAGCATTTTTCAGCTTGAATCAACATTCTTCACAGGTGTGGTGAAATAGCTGAATAATGAAACCTCCTTATAATTGGCCTGTGTAACTGTACAACTTTTGTGTGGGGGCAAGCAATTGCATAGCAGATTCTTATTTCAAAGATTTGTTAAAGTTGTGTTAATGATGCTTATCTGATCAAATGTAAGTTTTTGTTGTGTTTTTTTTGTGGTGGGTGTGGTTTTGGAGGTGGGTTTGGTTTTCTTGGTTGTTTGTTGTTTGGTTTGGGTTTTTGTTCCCCCCCCTTCCCTTGTAGAGCTTTATTCCAGGCCTTGAGAGGTATAAATGGTTCCTGGATGTCTCCTCAGTAACTCCTTTAGTGCAGTTGGCAAAGACTTTGTGATGGTGCTAGCTCTGTGTCTCACACAGATATGCCTTTACTGAGGAAATGCAAAGGTTTCCTTTTTCTTTTTCCCCTCTCTTGGTGGTTTGTTTTTTTTCTTCTCCTGCCATTTGATGTCAAAGACCTTATAATCCTGACTTATGAACCACTATAATCTGGAAATATATTCCTTTACCAATGCTCTTTTATACCCTGCTAATGATATAAGGGGCAGGGATCACATCTTTTCAAGCCAGTATACTCTTAGAATTAATGGAACCCCCTGTAATCCAAAGGGGAGACTGTGAGCGAGTCTCCTCTGCTTGAACATATCTTAATTGCTTCGGAATGCCTGAATGGATGGGAATTGTTTCAGAGCTGCAGTTTAATATTTAGTTACAGCAGAGAAAATCAGCATATGGAGCTACTGCCATGTGTTTTGCTGTAGTTACTGTCTAGTGTCTGCTTATTTTTCCACATATACTGAATCAAATATATGTATGCTGTGTTCTAACTTCACAGTCGATTCACCTGTGTATTCCCAGATCAGGGGAATACAGTCAGGCCTGGGGACTCTTCACTGTAAGCATTCTGGTTTATTTTATCAACTAACAGCCAAAGTAGAGAGTGGCAGGTAGTTGGAAATGAATGGGCAAAAGATGGGAGAGAAATGTGTTTCTCTACCCTTATCTTCAATTGTAATGAAAATAAGACGAATAAATAATTATCAAAACAAAAAAAAATTTCAACTTGTTACATTTGATTTTAACATCCAAGTCCTAGGAGAGAAACAAAGCTGTTTGAAATAGGACTATCAAGTTTTCTTAGATTGTTACTTTTATTTGCCTTTTTGAAAAAGTGGGCTGGAGTTGAAAATAGATGTAAATAATGGAAAAATACATTAGATGATTGTCTTTAACCTGGTCATCCTCTGCAACAAATATTGATCTAGCTCATGGTGTCATGTCATTCATCAGAGATGAATAAAATAAATCTTCCATGTTGAGGGCTAAATAGATCATAATGAAGTGTTTTCCTCCATTATTTTCCATAGCTTGTTTGGATTTAATATTGACAAAGAAAAGCCACTTGTGAATCCACTCACTGAAACAGTACATACTGAACAGCTTATCATATTGAGTAGGAGGATGAGAGTGTGCGATTTCGGATCAGCTCTTTTCCTGCTAAGTGTAAAGTTACCCTTATGCTAATTACCAGGATAAGTTTTCATAACTTTATATATAGAATAACTTCCACAGAGCTAATATTTTCTAGTATATAGAGGCTACTATATCCAGAGGAAATACAGAGGAAATGGATGATAGTTCTAACTGACTTTGATCCGCTTGTCCATAGACTTATCAGAGCTCTTTTAATTTTTTTTCCATACTTTGCTGTTCTGAGTACTTTTTTTTTTTTCCTTCCCCCCACCCCGTTTCTCCAGGAGAAATAAAGATCAAGCTGATGGAAGAAATTTTGCAAAAGCAAGATGGGCCAGGGCTATTCAGGAGGTAAGAGCTGCTCTTAAAACTACTGATGTGTTACTGTAATTTAAAGAATTTTCTCAGATGGAGGGAGAATTTAGTATGGGGTTTCTAGTTTATGTAAACCGCTGTTCAGTTACAGCAGGATCTGAGATGTGACTGCTGAGTTTCTGACAGTAGAGACAATTCCTTCCGTTGGTTCTTAAATGTGTGGTTCCCTCATATCAGGATTTTTTTCTTCTGAAACAGAGGAGGAGATTCTGAAACTTTCTTTAGATGCATGAGAAATGGTTGTAGTTTGGCCATCTTATCTGTGTTGCATATTAATCCAGAAACCATAACTTCAGACATCTATTTCTGAATAATTTTTGATATTGAGAAACCTCATAACTTCAATAATACTTAATAAAAATGGTTTTAAGAACATTGTTTTAATATTTTTTTCCTAGAAAAATCTTTTAAGTTCTACTGATGATACCACTGCCTAAAGAGGCATATTTTTTATTAGATGTGATAGTTACGGGAAATTATGATGACGATCACTTGCTCTGTTTATATGGTCAATAATGGTACCAAATATTTTCTCACTGTTGCTCCTAAACTGTACAAACCATTGCCTCACATGAACGGTTGGGAATTCAGACATCATCAGTTTTTGCCCAGGTTGCTCAGTAGTACTATCTGTCATGTCAGTTTTGTGCCATTTCTGACACACAGGGAAAGGAACTAATAATCCAACTCTTAAAATCCCTTTTTTTGCATTAAACTGTTCAACTTTGGCTGCTGGTAATGTCTGGTGGGCGCAGGCGAGCGTAGCTGTGCGGTCCCTTCATGTGGCTCTTTCTTGCAGAGCAGGTTTAACTCTCTGTAGAACAAAGTTGTTCTCCCCACCCTCACAGCCTCAATCAGTATCCTCAATCTCTCTGAAAGGGCTGTATGTGGCAGGGAGGTTGAACACCTAGTAGGAACTCAATGCAGGTGCTGTAGGTTTGGCATCACCGCCTTAAGTAAATGTGTTTTCTTTCCCATGAAAAGGAGAAGAGACCAGTGAATATCACTGGTCAGAGCAGGAAGAAGTCACGTGCCGAAGCTAAGGTAACCAGCCATCCAAGAGAATGTACACTAGAGAAGCGCCCCCAGAGCTCGTCACGAGGCAATGCCTGTATTTAAAAAAACAACAACAACAACAAAAAAAAAAATCCACCAAAAATTAAAAATTCTGTTTCTGGGGGAAAAAAAAGTGTTAAAAGCAACAGCATTATCTGTTGTTATTGACTGAATGGGCTTTTTTAGGTGTGGTGTTGAGAGGGTTTTTTTGTGTTTTCTCGGGGTTTTTTGCTTTTCTGTAATTCCTTTTAAATACCTCAGTTCTTTTAAAGCAATTAAGCCCTTTTGAAGCAATGCTTATAAAGCAGCCGTCTCCACTGTAATGTTTGAGTGGAAATAATTTCACACAGCTCTTTCAGATTGGTGTTTTGAAAGAAGCTTGAGAAGTTGTGTGAGACTTTGGATCTTAACTCCCCAAGGTCTAGTAAATATTTTGTGCATTGAAAACTGCTTCTGCTCACTATTCACACAGTGTGTTATACAGGAGGAAACTAGCTTATAGAGGGGAGTTGTGTCTTGAATTAGAAAGTAAAAATAAAGAAAAAGAATGCTGCCAGTTACCTTCCAGCCTTGATTGTGCTGCAAAACTACTGCTGATAACTTCTAAGAAACACAAATAGTTATGTCTTTACTGTGTACCGATGAACACCTAGTAGGAACTCAATGCAGGTGCTGTAGGTTTGGCATCACCGCCTTAAGTAAATGTGTTTTCTTTCCCATGAAAAGGAGAAGAGACCAGTGAATATCACTGGTCAGAGCAGGAAGAAGTCACGTGCCGAAGCTAAGGTAACCAGCCATCCAAGAGAATGTACACTAGAGAAGCGCCCCCAGAGCTCGTCACGAGGCAATGCCTGTATTTAAAAAAACAACAACAACAACAAAAAAAAAAATCCACCAAAAATTAAAAATTCTGTTTCTGGGGGAAAAAAAAGTGTTAAAAGCAACAGCATTATCTGTTGTTATTGACTGAATGGGCTTTTTTAGGTGTGGTGTTGAGAGGGTTTTTTTGTGTTTTCTTGGGGTTTTTTGCTTTTCTGTAATTCCTTTTAAATACCTCAGTTCTTTTAAAGCAATTAAGCCCTTTTGAAGCAATGCTTATAAAGCAGCCGTCTCCACTGTAATGTTTGAGTGGAAATAATTTCACACAGCTCTTTCAGATTGGTGTTTTGAAAGAAGCTTGAGAAGTTGTGTGAGACTTTGGATCTTAACTCCCCAAGGTCTAGTAAATATTTTGTGCATTGAAAACTGCTTCTGCTCACTATTCACACAGTGTGTTATACAGGAGGAAACTAGCTTATAGAGGGGAGTTGTGTCTTGAATTAGAAAGTAAAAATAAAGAAAAAGAATGCTGCCAGTTACCTTCCAGCCTTGATTGTGCTGCAAAACTACTGCTGATAGCTTCTAAGAAACACAAATAGTTATGTCTTTACTGTGTACCGAGACCTACCAAAAAACTGAAAAGTCATGGACTTATCTTCCTGTTTCATTTGTGTTTAGGCCTTTTGGAAATACTGCTTATTCTCAGGTAGTGTGCTGTACAGTGCCAATTCCATGCTTTTACAGCAAAGCCAAACCTGTTTAGTGGTAAAGACTAGTCGAACCCATCCAAGATGCACCTTCATCAGTTTCTTTTGAGCTGTTTTTTTCCCCTGCTCTTTTGGGGACCAATTACTATTTCTTTTTTACTGAATTCTGATGGCTTTGTGATAATTCATAGACTGACCCGGGGGAAAAAAAAAAAGTCTGTTTATACTGGGGTTTCGTGGGAAGAGTGCTTTTCTGAGTCACGTGATCTCAGTTTCTGCATACTACTGTTATTGGTTTGATCTTTTTTTTTATGCCAAATGTTAGCTTCACTAGAGGAGGCGGGCAGGATGAATCCTCGTCTAACTGACGTCAAACACAACACTCGGATATGCCAAAGGATCCAGTTTTGTCTTGTAGACAGATTACAATAGTCTTAAGATGCTTTTTCAGAATTTCTTCTGTGAACAGTCACCTTTCAGTGCTTGTCTAATTGCCTAGTCAGTGGGATAAATTTATTTCCGAGTTTAAAACCAAATAACTAATGTCACGTGGTAAGTAATTTTATGATTTGATGAATCAGCTGCATTTCATTCAGATGTTAAAAGAAGTGTTTGAAAAAAGGAATGTTAATATTGCGCTTCTTCCCACTACCATTCTTCAACGTAATTTTGGCGTCGGCGGTTAGAAGATGGTTAAGTAAATCAATTAATATGCATGAGCTGGAATCTTGGGTTGTCACTGTGCCATTGAATTGTTTTCTGTAGCAAAGCAGTCAAAATATCTCACTGCACTGAAATAAGGACAGATTCCTTGGCAGTTAATCTAGTATCAGGCTGGGGCTGAAATATGGTGACAAAGTTACTGTAAGTCTTTAAAGAATTTGAAAATCAGGTGGATGGGAGATGTAAGCAAATATCTCATGAGGAACTCTTTTTGAAAAGAAGTGGAAAATTTCTGTAAATATTCAAAGGGTCATTTAAATCTTGAGTTACTGTTTCATTGTAAGCTGTGTGTTAAACTTTGGTCTTCATATGCTTCTAATTCTACATTTAGTAGAAATCTGGGACATTGGAGGCTATGAAAACACAGCTCTTGAGGGGCTGAGTTGTCTTTCAGAGAGAGCTGTAGATAGCAAAGGGGAGGAAACCTTAATCTAAAAAGTATTTAAATCATTCTAATGCTATATAACCAAACATTATATTAGGATTTTTCCATGGTAATGGAAATGGTAATAAGGGGAAATGGACACCTTTTGTATTCTCAGCCCTGACAAATAGGTCAGGATAACAACTCTCAGATCAGAGGCATGAAGGAAAGTCATAAAAAGTAATAAATAGAGCTGCTAGTTGTATGGAAGCAATTGCAAGTTTTATGCTGTCCTGTTGGTAAATTATCTAGCACAGATTAATTATAATTGGATTGTGTTTTAAGTTAAAATTTATTCCACCACCTTGTCTTCCATGTGTCATGGCTTTTGTGCAGGACATATACTATGTAAAAAGATAAAATCACACTTACCTCACCTTTGACCAAAGAACTGCTTTTGTTTCTTTTCTTTCCTATCTTTTTAAGTAATCTCACTAGAGTGTTTGTTTTTTCTGGAATTACTTCCTCTGAAAGTTTCTCAGGGGGAAAATGTATCAAAAAGTCAATAGAATTTTGAAGAAAAGAAAATGGAGGTGTCTTTTATCTGAATAAAGCTACAGTTAACTTATTTGAAGGCTTATTTTAACTTAAATCTTCCTATGGTATTGTGAGTTTAGGTATTTATGATTTATTCCCTGCCCCGCCCCCCCCCAAATCAATGTAAAAGTTAAAAATTTCTTTCTTCAGTTAATTGAAGGTATTAAGAATAGTAGACCCTGGGAGAAACCTTTATGAGCTGTTGCACCGTTATTTGAGGATTCTGTTAGGCAAGGTCAAAAAAAGAATTATCACTTTGCTTTCCTCTTCAAAAAATGAGGTATCATGATTCACAATAGAGGTTAAGAAACCTAAGCTTTCTCTCTTGACTGTCATAAAAGAAAATCAACAAACAGGAATGTAACATACTCTCTTCCACAATTCAACTTAATTTCTCCCCTTTGCTTCAGAGTTCAAAAAGGGACCACTGTAAGGTTCTTTCCCTTCCTCCTGTTTCAGTATCTATTTCAAGTAACCATGTTATAGCATTTTGCAGGTTGTCTTTGGACTCACGTTAAATGATTTATTACTGGTTTTATCGGTAGCCTGTGGCTGAGTCAATGTGCTATAGAATTATACAGCTCCTGGAGCATATTTATAATTGAATTATAGAGCATTTTGTGAACATTTGAGGCAATGCTTAGAAGACTGTGAGACTCAACAGGGTTCTCTTCAGAGAAAGTTTACAAGTGAGAATGTGTGCTTCACAT